ATTTATGGTAAATAGTCAAATTTTAGGTGTTTAAATTTTAATAATTTATTTTATTTATTTTAAGTGTCCCCTATTAGTAGAGGGTTTTTACCCTCTGCTAGACTTCTTTGACAAGTTAATAAAGTTTTCATTCATTCATTCATTCATTCATTCAATCATTCATTCATTCAGTCATTTATTCCTTCCTTCCTTCACTCATTCATTCATTTGAGTTTTGTAACTTTGCGGTGAGGTTTTCTGTATATTGTTTGGCCTTCTCTTTTGAGTTTTAATAATCACCATATACACAAAACAAAGCAGCAAAAAACAGTTGTATAGAAGAAAAAGTTATAATTCTGTTAACTTTTAATCCTGGGTTTGCGTCAACCGGCTTCCGAACAATCCTGCCCTGTTTTCAACGAGTTAACCTGAGATGGGCCCGCGATCCAATCGAAAACCAACACTTGGTCAGCGGTCAACTTAAAAAAAAAAACACGCGAACTCGATGAGCTGTAAACTTGAGCCCGCGATATGGTCACGTGGTATTGGTCGGCAGATACCTTGTTTTGACAGGTGTCAATTGATCGTAACATAGATGCCCAATATCAAAAAAGTACACGGTAAACCAAGGCTGCATGTCTCTGTCAGCCTATTAGTATAGGTAATCATACGGTTTCGAGTTCAATTTGGAATTAATTTGCACAAGTGAGTTTTTCAAAAAGCTGAAATTGCACGAGCCGCTTCGGCGAGTGCAATTTCAGCTTTTTGAAAATTTTACAAGTGCAAATTAACTCCAAATTGAACGAGAAAAACGGTATGATTACTTATTAATAATATGAACATGAAATAATTCGCGCGGAAGAAGTGCCGGAAGATCTTTGTTGAAGCCATTTTTTCTCATTTGAGAAAACTTTTTTCAAAGTTTCATCACAAAATTTTCGTCATCATTTTACGTGATATCAGTTTCTTAGAAAAGTTCCTATTGTCTTTCAGTCAATCATAATCCAGAAATTCGATGTGTAGTTTGCACTGGTGTTACACTTTTTGCACTGATGTTACACTTTTTGCACTGGTGTTACACTTGAACTGCACTGCTCTTAGCCAATCAGAATCGAGTAATTTTTTCATGTGTATTATTATTTGGAGTATGGCCGCCATGTTGCGCGACTCCGTCGTCGTCGTCGTCGTCGTCGCCGTCGTCGTCGTCGCCGTCGCCGTCGTGCGTACGCGCCTACGAGCAATACCGCTAGCCATGATAACCACGAGAAAATCAACTCATGGGTTTCCTTTTCTCTCCTATATGAATATGGGGCTCCGCTTGGCGGCCCTTCGGGCAGCCGGAACTCCGCTATCAATAATAGCTTTTAAACTTGAAATTTGGGTTATTTGCGCGGTCATCTGTTGTCGGTGTAAGCTAAAACATTATTTAAAGGATAAATCAATAGGAACAAATACTAACCTTCACCAACCATCGTGTTTTCAGAAGGATCGCAAGCTGCTTTTAAATCGTCCAGTTTTCTCGTGATTTCCTTCAGCTGATCTTTCACGTTGTCTTCATCTTTCTTCCATTGACTGAGAAGTTCTTTGTAGTGGTCTTCAATGTCAGGNATTATTTGGGGTATGGCCGCCATGTTGCGCGACTCCGTCGTCGTCGCTGCCGTCGTGCGTACGCGCCCACAAGCAATACCGCTAGCCATGATAACCATGAGAAAATCAACTCATGGGTTTTATTTCCTGTTCTTTCCTATATGAATATGGAGCTCCGCTTGGCGGCCCTTCGGGCCGCCGGAACTCCGCTATCAATAATAGCTTTTAAACTTGAAATTTGGGTCATTTGCGTGGTCATCTGTTGTCGGTGTAAGCTAAAAAACATTATTTAACGGATAAAGCAATAGCAACAAAAACTAACCTTCACCAACCGTCGTGTTTTCAGAACGATCGCAAGCTGCTTTTAAATCGTCCAGTTTTCTCGTGATTTCCTTCAGCTGATCTTTCACATTGTCTTCATCTTTCTTCCATTGACTGAGAAGTTCTTTGTAGTGGTCTTCAATGTCAGGGTCCATACAATCAGTTTCAAGATTGTCGATAGCTGCTTTGTACGTACCTCCTCCCAGTCTTACTAGAGTGTCCCGGATGTCTTGCCAGTATGTGTTGAACGTTGCTTCATCAACTGAAGCGTGCTCGGCATGAGCGTACACAGTGTTTCTAAAATATTTAACACGAGCGATATCCGCTTCACGGCTCACGTCTGTTACAGCAGGAAGTGCATCCCAGCCAGTTGCTGGAGAAGGCAAACCACATATGTTCCGCAACAGAACCATCAAAAGAGTTGTATCAAAATGGGCTGTTAACACCGAAGTAGAGACTGCAGGAAATAATTTTCCCCATTGTGTTGCATTGATAATTTTCCTCGTTCTTAGTGACTGTAACGCCGTTCTATTTCTCGCCAAAACTGTGTGAAGAGTTGCTGGTGCATGGATGCCATCTAATGTGTCTCTGAGGGTCTGGGTACCAACATCAACCAGTAGACGACACAAGCGAGCGAAGTTCGTCGTCTCCTTGCTGGATGAAGCTGTTGGTGCTGCACAAGCCATGGACAGTATACCTATATATTTTTGAAATAACAATATTGAAAAAATTACTCGATTCCGATTGGCTAAAAAGGAGTGCAGTTTTCATTTAACACCAGTGCATATTATAACGAAGATATCCGAAGATAGCCGAAGGTAATAAGTCGTTTTTCGAGCACTTCCGAGGATTATCCGAACCATTCCGAAGATCAACGAATGCCACCCTAACACCTCCAACAATCATCCAAACCCTTCCGAAGATTTCAAAGATTTCCGAAGCCGAAGATCACCCGAAGCTCGCCGAAGACTTTCAAACATTTTTGGAAGTTTGCCAATATTTTCGGAAATGTTCGAAGGCATTGGAATACCAAGCACATTGTAAACTGTCTAAGGAAACAATGTGCACGCGGGTTAAATAATATGTTTTCAAGTGTATTATTAACAAGTAATCACATGATTATTCTCGTGTAATTTGGAATAAATAAGCACTTGTAAATGTTTCAAAGACTACAAATTGTACTCACCCTTCAGGCTCGTGCACTATTGTTAGCCTTTAAAAAATTTACTCGTGCTTATTTATTCCAAATTGCACTCAAAATCATGTGATTACCTATACAAATGTTAAGTAGTAACATCTAATACGGTAATACATTGATTACACATGATATGCAACACTGAAAGATGCTTTTGTCTAGACAAGACTTTGATTTCTGTAGCAAAAATTGATTTGTCTTTGAGAATTGGAATTTATCAGTTGCAAGCCCCCTTATAATGTCTATAATGTGGCCTGATGACTGAACTTTGTACCTATTGATTCTGAATACCGACGTTTTTACAAGGTGTAAACTTTAATGTTTGTTTAATTAATTAATTTCAATTAATCAATTAGCCTTGTGGGAAGGGGGGCTGGGTGGGGTAGCTAAAAGGTACCTGTGTGCATTACACAAAACGTGTCACACTTACGTTACTTTCTTGGATAACATGACAAAAATATATATATGGTTTTGCAAATCTCATGCTATCCTCGTGCAGATTAGTTAGCGTCAAAAGTCGACTGTATGTTAAGTGAAAGATACATTTGATACGGGACTACCCACGAACGTTGAGTTCTTTTCCTTGTGGTAGAACATAACATGTAACACGCATGCGTTCTAGCATTGCTAGTGTGATAAACTCCGTTCTCGAGTTTAGATGCACGTTTTTTTAATTTTTTGTAATTAGTGATACCACACTCTCGTTTTAGCCGGGGATAGCAGCTATATTTCAGGTAACGTCAGTTCTCCTTTTTTGTTGCAAAGAACGCTACCGTGGCTTCGTATCTTCTGGATTCTTCCATAGCTCGATTCAAGCAATGTCGTCTGTTGTGTGTTCGCCAGGGTTCAAATAAAGAATGGAAACATATTGCTTCTCCTTAGCAGCTTGTTTGTTTCCTCTTCTGTGAAAGAGAGCCAAAAGTTTATATTCAGCCGAAACTTTCCCGCGTTTGTTACATGTAAAACTAGTAAATTTGTGACAAAAGAGACTTCATTGTTATTGCGGCAGATTCCGTGGCAGTTACTGAAACCGCCAATTTTATCAGTCGATGAGGTGACTCACTCACCGATGTGGGATATAATTTCGGTCAAGTAAAGATCTCTTCCTTCAATACTTCATGTTGAAACGTTCCTCAGTTGTATTACTCGATAGCATTGTGTATTAGTTTGACGTGGTTTTATTATTAACACCAAAGCCGTCAACAGAATTAGAACGCACTATTCTGTGACTCGACGTGACTATTTGATAATTAGATTACTTTTTGTTTTATCGCTGAAATGAAAATTTGCGTTTCAAATAAAACAAAATCGTTCCTCTTCGACTTTTCAGCAGATATTTAACTTTTATATTTCATTTATCTCCAGCAGTGAGTAAAAAAAATAGACATCTTTCTTATATTTTCGCGGAACTGAACAAAGGTATCTTGTTGCATACATTGGCGAGGAAAACAAAAGTATCAAATTACAAACGCTGGCGTGAAATGTAAAATTGTCACATTTGCTACAAAATGAACGAAACTCAACATAACATACCACGATAAATTTAAAACCGTCTAGACAAACGGTAATTGTAAGTTTTCTTTGGGCCTTGAAAGAAAACACAAACATGAAACATACACACTGCTAAGATTATGTCTTATCAAGTTTTTGTCCGCTCATATTCTGCAAAGGGGAAAAGGCCTAGTTGACTACCAAGGGAGAGAACGGCATGGGTGACTGTGTGACTACTGTATCAGAGCCGTAAATTACACTCTGCACTATCTGAGATTGTCTCACTAGTTTAATCTGTGCAGCGTGACGTGATAAGACACGGTCATGGCGAGTACATGCGACAAAAGAGAGTAGTATTCTTTGTTAAAAAAAAAAGAAAAGAACTTGACAGGAAATTATTCTTCTCGATATGTCACAACGATTTGATTCGTTTGGTAAACGTGATATTTGACGTGGGGTATATATGTCTTGAGATCAGTCGAAAGTAACACTGGGTATTCAAACTGACATTCAAACACTGGCATCTTTGGAATTCATTGGGGCAGACGAGGGAAGTAACGTCTGAGCAGACATATTAAGAGTAAGCCAGTAACACATGCAAAAATTGTTGAACTTGACGACAATTACAGTAGTTTTAATCAGTTCAGTGCGAGTACAGGTATCAATGAAGGCCGAAGGAGAAATGGTAACCGCGTTATGTCTGTTAAAACCAAGCTGAACTAACATATACTTCAACTGAACCATGATACCGACTGATGTATACAACAACATTAACACCATAAGTTACTAAGCATTCAAGAGTGCTTTAAAAAGATCAAAACTAGCATCAAACCTTTGAATTAGCGTATAAGATTACTAGATCTGCAGCCCGTCACTCAAATAGGAAGTCCACGATCGTGCAAACAAACGTGCTCTGCTAGAGCATATAAGCATGCAGCCGGAGAGCTGTATCAACCAGCAGGTCACTGAGGATACCAGGAACACAGAATAGCACGAAGCCAGCGTTCAAATTGTAAATGAACAAAGTAAGTGAGTCTCGTTTACCGACCCTGACCCGACAGGAATGAAAGCGGTCATGCGTTCAAGGAATTTATTATGAGTTGACGCCTTGCAAAGCCGTGGATTTCTGTCCCGGGTAGAGTACACGGTTGAAGGAAAAACGCCAACTCTCTCGAGAAGAAAGAGGACGCAAAGATGAAGCTTATCTGAAAGGCCTTGGCAAGCTGAGAGAGGAAACAACAATTGAACAGCAGGGCGTTATAGCGATTTTGTAGACTAGCAATAATGATTCTGGTTTAGTCTGTCTCACCCCTCCCTCCTCTCTCTCTCTCCTTGAAAGCAAACTGTACATGTTGTTCCTTTTTAAACTCGTGGATACGCGTAGGAACGTGTTTGTTGCGGGGACGCCGACACGCAAATGTGTCACTCACTCAGGTGTAGACACTGTTCGTAATTAGTCGGCCCGGACGAGAGTGCCCGAGTCCGACGTCAAACAGTAACCGAGCGCAACGTCATATTGGAATAGTAACCGAGTCTGAAGCCATGTTGGAATAGTAACCGTGTAGTCAGCGTTAGGTTTGCAGTCCAAATTGGTGATTTTGTAGCTTTACACGACCATTAGGTGTTTCGCTGAATTGAAGTGGAGTTCGAATGTTCGAATTACTACTATGGCCAACTTGAAGGCTGAATTTCATAAGCCTTTGACTCGTTAAACATGACCAGGAGATAAGCATTTGTTTGCTGGAAAGTGACCTGACATGCTAATGTGGTAAGCTTTGATGAGAATGTGTCTTATTCGNGCCACTGAGGATACCAGGAACACAGAATAGCACGAAGCCAGCGTTCAAACTGTAAATGAACAAAGTAAGTGAGTCTCGTTTATCGACCCAGACCCGACAGGAGTGAAAGCGATCATGCGTTCAAGGAATTTATTATGGGTTGACGCTTGCAAAGCCGTGGATTTCTCTCCCGGGTAGTGTACACGGTTGAGGGAAAAACGCCAACTCTCTCGAGAAGAAAGAGGACGCAAAGATGAAGCTTATCTGAAAGGCCTAGGCAAGCTGAGAGAGGAAACAACAATTGGACAGCAGGGCGTTATAGCGATGTTGTAGACTAGCAATAATGATTCTGGTTTAGTCAGTCTCACCCCTCCCTCCACTCTCTCTCCTTGAAAGCAAACTGTACTTGTTGTTCCTTTTTAAACTCGTGGATACGCGTAGGGACGTGTTTGTTGCGGGGACGCCGACACGCAAATGTGTCACACACTCAGGTGTAGACACTGTTCGTAATTAGTCGGCCCGGACGAGAGTGCCCGAGTCCGACGCCAAACAGTAACCGAGCGAACGTCATATTGGAATAGTAACCGAGTCTGAAGCCATGTTGGAATAGTAACCGTGTAGTCAGCGTTAGGTTTGCAGTCCAAATTGGTGATTTTGTAGCTTTACACGACCATTAGGTGTTTCGCTGAATTGAAGTGGAGTTCGAATGTTCGAATTACTACTATGGCCAACTTGAAGGCTGAATTTCATAAGCCTTTGACTCGTTAAACATGACCAGGAGATAAGCATTTGTTTGCTGGAAAGTGACCTGACATGCTAATGTGGTAAGCTTTGATGAGAATGTGTCTTATTCGTCGCCCTTAATGAACTTATATGAGCGAAGCGAAATATTTTCAATGAACGAAACAGCTACTGAAAACAGGACAAACATCGGCACCATAATATAATATTGTAATTTCATTTCTATAATTTAGTAACATCTAAACCTGAGGCCAGCGGAAATATTGTTTTAAATATACGACGATGTGTCAGCCTTGCAGTAGTCTTTGACTTATTATCGCTTTACTTTTCAAGTTTGGCTGATTATAGATCTCCTGTGAGATCCAACGCTCCTTCAAGCAGCACTTTCGCTCACAGCTTTGCAATTTGTGGTGAATTTTTCATTTTGAGTTGTCCACGTTCAACCGACATCGAGTTAAGTTTTGATTAAAGTTGTGTTCTCTATACTAGCTTGTCTTGTTTATTTTAGTACATTGATCTTAACTCTAAGTGGGATGTGAAATGTACATAAACTTGGAAAGAAATTCCCAAATACTTGATGTTGATAAGCTTAAATGATTTTTACCCTGTCTATTGTTTACACTTTTTCTTCTTGATTGAAGAGATAACTACGGGAAAGAAAACCCATGTGAGCTTGTTGGAACACATATTTATGGCTCAACAGATTTTTCGGATCAACACTAAAAATGCTTGCAAAAGAGGCTACTTATTTTGATGTATTTAACGTGCAATAATATACAGAGACAAGCGGTTCCACACTGGAAAAGAAGTGCTGTCTCATAAGAAACCTTACCTATGGCCTTGAATGAAATGCCATGAAAATCATTTGTAAGCTCTTACGACTTGACTACAAATACATTTTCCCACCAGGCAGACAAACATCAACATCATGATCTGGGTGTGGGGAAAGGGGGGTGTACTCTATGATTTTTTGGCAGGAGTGTCCTCCGTGACCCAAGAACCCTTAGCCTTTACCACTCCATGTTCAGCTGCAATTTTGCCACCCTAGCTATTCTGAGCATATGTGTTTGTAAATATGTGTGCAACAAAAACCAACAAATTAAGCCTACACTTTGTGAGATAAGTGCTACCTTCCGTGGTATGAACCCGGCTTGTTTTAACAGGCTTAAATAATACACCAGTAATAGCAAGTTCACCAACATGTTTCATCTCTAGATTACTTAATCCACGAGTTTGACCATAGGTCTCCTTTGATTTCTCTTGATCACATGGATTGTATGTGCACACTGGTCACACCGAAATCTGCGCGCGCCRGTTTGACACTTGAGACGCGCCTCATTTGGGACTAGGCTAGTGGACACGTAAGCTTAGAAACAATCAAATCGAATGTGAGTTAACCCTCGATTTTTGAGCGATAAATGAGGGGAAAATCCATCAATACATGACATCAAAGTCATCAAAAGTGCGTTGCCTGGTATCGTTTATTGCACCTCTCGGTGATAGCGTCGCCCTAAACGAACTCCTTCTAAAATCTCCCCTAGTCTACTCACGTGCGTGTTCCCCATCTAACAGAGTTCTTGCTGGTTTCAGCCAAGTTTAAGAAAATGTTAGAATGCTTACAACTACTTCTTACTAAAGAAGGGAAACAAAAAAGGGCAAATACAATTTACAAGATATTGCCTACAGCAGACTAGTGGTCACTAATTAAAGGTACAGTTCTAGCTTGTTGGTACAAAGTTAATACCAAAAAAAATTATTCCCTACAGTTAGTACCGTTTCCCGAGGACGCCATTTGCTCCCTTGCCCTTTCTAGTAGATACAGCGTAGTTAGCACTTTTAACTTGAAAGACCCTTAGAAAGTTGAGCATGGAGAGGCAGGGAAGGGGGCGCAAGCAGCTCTGATCGTTTGATCAAAACTGGCAGAACCATAATCAATCACAAATTTACTAATTATCAAGAGCGTTTGTCTTGACAGGGAGGAATCGTTTGGAACCTGATATTAATACCTGTAAAGATATTTTTGCAAGCTTGTAAGAACCAAAATTATCAGTCTGACATGCCATAATTGGGAAGAATTGCAACTTGAGATCACAGCTCACAATCAGGTGCATGTATTAATCCTATACTAATACAAGAATAGATGTCAACCAAGACGTTAATGCCACCAAAGCTGACAAACATAAGTGAAGGCCCAATGTACAACTTTTCCCAGTGGTAGTTAGAAAGGGCCTATTGCATATACATCCTAGTCTTTCTAGACTACCCACCTCCCCCCGCTTCAGCATGTCAACGATTTCCAAGGGAAATTAATTTATACCTCCTAGACCTCCTGCAGGACTGTAATTAAGTGTTGAGTAACCTGCACCCTTGTTGTCCACAGGCATGGCAAACTTGTCACTTTTTGGATGAATTCTATCAACCACAGGCAATTTCACCCCTAGCATCAAGGGAAAATCAAGCATTAAAATTCTGAGCAGTAAGGGTATTACAGGCTATGGCCGCCCTTGATGACAGCCCTGTCCTATCAGATCATAACTTGAAAATTGCATCCTTGCTCCTTTATGAGGACCATAATTTTAGGCATGTTTTAATGCACATTTATACTGTTTTCTCACTATAATTATCATCATAGTTACCATAATTATCTGGGGGGAGGGGGTACTCCCACATATAAGCCATAGGGTATGTGCTGCTGTGAAGGGAACAATTTTCAGGCAGTTCAGTCTGGGATAGGGTAGAAATCAGACAGTTTTGGTCTAGAATTAGCTCCTATCAACTGAGCAGGTCTGTATGGGAGAATCTTGACCAAGGTGGTGAGTACAGACCGAATGCAGTTAGGTCTGAACACAAGACCAAGGTCAAGATTCTCCCATACAGACTATGCTCAGTTAATAAGATGTTTATTACATGGCAAACAAGAAAATTTTAATTAGTTGGGTCTTTAATGTAACTGGTTTGTTCTAGCTGACCTTTTGCTGCAAACAGCAAAAAGCTCATCCTCTTTAATAACTTATTTTTTCTCGTTAGGCTTTTTGGCACTTCCATAAATTACGGATAAGGAAATAGAATAGTCAATATTCTTTTATCTTTTTGCAACTTTTCACCACAATATGTAACCAGTCTAAATGGGAAAATCTAGGGTGCAGCTTTTCATTATGCCAAAGCAACCAGTCAGAGACCAGAAAGTGGAACATTTTGCGATCAAAATCAAACCAGGCCAACCAAGAGGGATGGCTCTTACTATTTTTTTATTCCTTTAGGGAATTCCCCACATAAGTGAGGAGAAGCAGGGAAATGAGTTTTGTCAAAAATGGAACAGCAAACCTTAAGAGGTGATCCTGAATATTCCAGTTGGAAGAAACTAAAGTGGACCTTTCCATGTTTGACTTCTAACCGAAATTTCCAGAATCTTTGGCATAATGGAGAGCACCCCTAGACTGCAGTCAATATTGATTTCAGCCAATCAAATTCATGCGTTTAGCAGTTCCCAGTCCTTGTGAGAGAGCCATGTAATGGCCAGGGTACAAATAGTTCAGTCTAGAACAGGGTTCTTTACCCAGAGTTCTATAATTTATAGAAATTGAAACTTGAAAGAGACATTGTAAGATATTGGTGTAGTTAGCATATGTTGGACCACACTAGTGATAAAGTTTGTGTGGTAAATAGCTAGTCTGGGATAGGGTAGGGGTTTTTAGTACCTAGTCTAGAATAGGGTTGGAAAATCAAGCTGATCATGGGCTAGCATAGGGTAATAGTTTCAGTGTGCCAGCTTCACACCCCTATCCAAGATCAACAGAGTACCCCCAGGCATAATTGT